ACTCGAAAGTCATTAGCTTGTTTGCTTATCGTCATCATCGGTTTTTCTATTCAGTAACCTCCTTGGATAAAAGCATTCAGACGGTTCAGTTCATCTCGATGCTCGTTCACAACTGCACGAACCACATCACCAATGGACACCATCCCAATCATCTCCCCTTCGTTTATGATGGGAATGTGCCTTATACGGTTATCTGCAGATTTGCAAGTTAACCAAGAATCGGTTAAAAAGCTCAAAGAATTTCGATTTTAAGAATGTTATACTAAGGAGAAGAAGAAAATGATTACCAGTCATCAGCTGCATTGCTTTCAAGACTTTAGTGTCTGGTGTGACCGTAATAAGTTTGTTCTGCAATCACCTCATAAATATTTACATTTTCAGTAACTTATAAGATAACTACAAATGCACTAGGCAAATTTACCATTTGTTGTCATTGAGATGAACTTTTTTTTTGTCAAAGAATCATTGAAGATTTTGGATTCATGGTTGGGAAACAAACTATACGGAAGATTTTGTACCAAATTGCAAAAAGCTCTAACAATCTTTCAATGCAAGATATTCTTGAAAGATTTTTGTTATCTAACAAAATAGTCCAATTGGTCTAAGGCAAGCAAATGTTAGACGCATTTGTAACTTGGAAAAATCACTGTTTTCTTGTGTTCTTTAAATTCTTGTAATTCGCCCGACAAATTTATCCATATGAAACTTTCTCTGTGAAAAGATTTATTATACCTCTTCAGTCATGATGTCCCCAACCTTTGTTGACTTGGATGACCTTCCCTGGACAATTATTTTCCGGAGGTAATCTACAAATTCCATAAACAAATTAGCGTTACCACTCTAGAATACAAGTAATATTTAATTCTTGATTGAAGCTTTGATATTCTGCGATTGTGTTGCTAGTATTATTGATTAATCAAATTATATTCTACATTCGTATCTTTTGTTTGCGACAAGCAACCAATTATTACAATCTTGAAAATTCTTAGGCTTCTCATGTATTTAACAAAAAAACTCAGGACAAAGGTTTTTATTTAACCCCAAATGGTAAGTGATGCAAGATTTTGCAGTCCTCATAGTTAGTTATAAGCTATATCAATGAAACAGAAGGCACCCAAACTTAACAGATTAAGATGATAAAACTGATTTACCTCTTTCAGTGATAATTCCTGCAATCGACTTTTCCTCCCCTGGTTTAACCACCACCAGAGCTCCAACATTGTGCTGAGTCATCTGCAATCGAAAAAAACAAAATGAAAAATGTTCATGATCATATGTCATTTTTCATCTTCCGCATAAAAATCTACGAAAGCAAACATCAAGATTTACAGTGGCGCATCTGGATATTTACAGAAACCACCAAAAAGAGCTTAAAAGCTTATTTATAAATGTCAGACTCGTATTTTACCTAATTCAAAATCTCAAAAGATAATTGAAACAGAACAAAGATGTGTATTAATTACCGATTTCACGGCTTCATACACGCTGTCATCAGTCGTGCACCAGAGCCAAGAACCATCTGCGCCTTTCCCTTTGGCTTTTAGAACATCAGAAATTGTGGTGCTTTCGAAACCGTGCTCTTCGATACGGGCCGTTGAGGTTGACTCGTGGCGTGCGAAAATCAGAGTCCTCATGGCTGGTGGAGCTACTCGGACATGGCGAAGAATGGCATTCTTTAGAAGGCTACCATTCGAGAAGAAGATTGCTTTGATTCCTCCTTGCATTGTGCCTTTATCTAGCAAAAAACAAGAAAGTGCACCACATTATTTGTAAGTCAATATTATCGACAAATTGATTCAGCTAAAGCAGGTTTTTGCTAATGATAATCCTCTACTTGCGACTGTCTTTGAATCCTAAAGTGAATGTCTGCAAATTCTACATAAGGTAAGGTTATTTTTTTACTCTCTGATCACTACATACAAAACACACACACACACACACACACACACATAGAGAGAGAGAACACAAGAGAGAACAAGAGAGAACTAAGGATCTTGAAGCTCACACAGTTAAGAGTACACTTAACTGAGATCTTTCGAGCAAATACCAACAAATAACAACAATTCTACAAGAGATCTACAGATCTTTCGAGCAAATTAAGACTTCAACATGAAAAACAAATCAATTTCCTGGTTCATCTCACCATAACTCCCAGCTAAAAAAATATTTACCCCTTTTCCTCTCAACCCACTTTTACACAATCTACAAACTATCTAAGCATGACCTTTTCTTTAACACCACGCGCCAAAAAAGAATCAAGAATAGCGACCCCCACACAAAAAGGGAGGAAAAAAAGAAAAAAGGCAAAAGCTTTATTCTGTACTTCAAAACACAGTTTAATCTTCAGATATTAGCCTTGAAAGACCAGATTAAGGTTTCAAGATTTACCTG